ATTTCTATTTATGATTTTAGACTTTATGCTATTAATACTGTTCTAAAGAGAGGAGAAGAGGAAAAAAAAATTTCAAAATAAATTTTTTTTTTCATGCGTCGCAAAATCAAGATCTCCACCAATAAAAACCTGTAATGTAACAAGTGATATTATCACAAATACGATAAAAAGTAAAATACTAACTGTTAAAATATACATTTTTATAATAAATCTATATATGACCTTAAATTTTTATTTGAAATTTTATACTTTTTTTACTATAACCTATTTTTGTAATATACTATTTTTGCATATAACATTTTCTTAAAATATACATTTTTTTCATATAACCTGCTCATTAAAAATACAAAATTTTATACTTATTTTACATATGACCCCTATTATAATTATCCAGGGTCCTGGTGATATATTGGGTACCTGATGTGTACCTAATATATGTAACTGCCCTATATATATCTGATTTATTACCAATATATAGGTGTCCGATATATACCTGATAGCATAGATTTTGACCAGTGTATGGAACAAATACCTTTAATATTACATTCATCATCATCTTTAGATATGATGCAAAACTTAGTTCATTTATTCCAGAATGCAATATAAGCTGAACATAAGGTGATCTTATCTTGGCTCTATTATTCAAATAGTTTTGAAAATAAAGTTGATGAGATTTGTCATGACACTGAAGCTTCAAATAAAACAGCTAGATTACAAATATACAAAGAAATGCTAGAACATCTACCTGGTATCACATTGGGAAACTTACGTATGAAAACCCTATGAGCTAAAAAAATCCATATGTTATTTAGGAAAGGTGGAGTGGAAATAGATAAAATTAAGCAAATTACTTTCAGTATTTATGACATATCAAGCCTTACTATTAATTAAATTCAAAGTGTTATCAAGAATGTGGCTTCAGCAGAAAGAATACTGGAGGCAGTGTTGTCATAGGATAATGTTCGGGATATATTACACAAAAAAGAAATGATAACCTCTCAAAATTTTTCTATGATAACCTTGTTTAATACTTAGCAAAAATGTTTAGCATCCAATTATACTTAAATATATATAATTTTTGTAGAGAATTTTAAGTTACAGAAGAGTATAGACAGAGCGTAAGCATGTTCAGAACAACCAAAAAAAGTTGTGGACATCAAAAATGTACAATACTGACCAGAGGTATCAAATTGTAATCATGTGACTTTCATCATGAATTATGATGATTAGATTAATGTTTCAGCTAAGGTAACTATAACTTATAACCACTCTTATTTTTACAACAAGATATTAGATCAATATCCTACTTTGTATAAAGAATTTAGTAGCAAAAATTTTGATTATTATGACATTACTGACGAGACATCATGCCCATTATGCAAGTTAGATCATAATGATGAAAAAAGCATAGAAGGTAGGTATAAATTCAGATTTTACTTTATTAAATGTGAACAGCGTGAAATTGAGATAACTGTATAATAATCTCATTAATCATTACCCTTTCTTATCATAGCACTAGTCGAAAAAAGAATATTCAGCCTTAGTAAAATTCGGCTTATATTCGACTAAAATTAAAAAATTCGACCTCAATTAGCAATGATCTACGATTAGACATTGGTCGAACCAACATGCTGGTGAAATGGTCACGTCATGCGTTACGCATATCAAAAGTTTAAATAAGAATCATGCATTCTTTTTTAAACTTTTATTCGTCTTTTAGCTCTATAGGCGCAGAAAAAAAAAAATTTTTTTTTTATTATTTTTTTTTAAAAATTCTAGTGTCATCTTTCCCTTCCCAGAATGCTGGTCAAAACTACGCACCAGGGATAATAAGGTAAATGGGAGGGGGAAGTCAGTTTTTTTATTTTATTTTAGTATTATGAACGGTTTACTAACTGTTCATATTTTCCATATAGGTTTCGCAGGAAAATGAATGGGCAAGAGAAAATGAAAGGGGAAGTAAAAACGAAAGGGTAAAACGAAACTGAAAGGGAAGGGTAAAATGAAAGGAAAAGGGTAAAACGAAAAGGATAGGATAAAAATGAAAAGGAAAAGGAAAACAAAAAAGAAAGGGGAAAAAAGAAAGGGGAAAACGAAAGGTAAAACGAAACTGAAGGGGAAAGGTAAAATGAAAGGGGAAGAGTAAAACGAAAAAGAAAGGAGAAAGGTAAAACGAAAGGGGAAGAGTAAAACGAAAAAGAAAGGGGAAAGGTAAAACGAAAGGGAAGGTAAAACGAAAAAGAAAGGGGAAAGGTAAAACGAAAGGAGAAGAGTAAAACGAAAAAGAAAGGGGAAGGGTAAAACGAAAGTGAAAGGGAAAATGAAAGTGAAGATTCATAAGTAGTATTATATTACGAATCTTAAATTTTTTTTCTTTTTTATTATTATGGAACGGTTTACTAACCGTTTCTTTCTTTTTTTTATAGGTTCGGGTGAACTTCCGATAAACGGAAAACCAAGATTCGTAAGTATGAGTACGAATCTTAGTTTCTTTTTTTGGTTTTTTTTATGAATGGTTACTAATAACTGTTCTTTCTTTTTTTTAGGATCGGGCGGGCTTCTGACCTTTGGGAAAAAAGGAACCAAGATTCGTAAATACGAATCTTGGTTTATTTTTTATATATTTATTTTTTAATATTAATGAACGGTTACTAATGACTGTTCTTTCTTTTTTTTATAGGTTCAGGTGGGTTTTCGACTTTCAGGAAAAGAGGAACCAAGATTCGTAAATACGAATCTTGGTTTATTTTTTATATATTTTTTTTTTAATATTAATGAATGGTTACTAATAACCATTCTTTCTTTTTTTTATAGGTTCAGTAGGCTTCCGACCTTCGGGAAAAAAGGAACCAAGATTCGTAAGTACGAATCTTGGCGGTTTAATTTTTTTAATTTTAATTTTTTTAATATTATGAACAGTTACTAACCGTTCTTTTCTTTTTTTTTATAGGTTTGGTGTCTCGGGTGGGCTTCTGAAAAATGGAGGAACCAAGATTCGTAAGTAAGTATAAATC